CCGCTGCCTCGCTCCCCATTGTTGGCGTCGGCCGGCGGGCGCTTCCCGCCGTGTTAGGCCTGGGCGGAGGGGCGGCTTGTGCGCGGGGGGAGAACGGGCTGCCCCTGCGCCCCCTCCCCGGCCGCCGGGGCGAGGAGGAAGCCTGGCGGGGCGCGCGCCGGCCGCCGTCTCGGCCCCGGCCCTGCTGCACGGGCTCCGATTCTTCCGGTCGCTCCATTTTGTCTCTGTCGGCGCACGGTCGCCTCATGGAAGGCCGCATTCACGGCCCTTTGTATCCCGCGCGCTCTGCTTCCTGCGCTCCCCTGCTCGTGTTTGCGACAGGTTTCGGCGTGGCGCCTTCTTCCTCCTCCCCTCACACTCCGGGAAGGCGGCTTCGTGGCGGGCAAGTTTGCAACAAGTCCTTTGACTTTCGGACCCATGGCTCGTGTTTAAAAAGTCGGTTCGCTGCCTCCCTGCCTCGGTGGCCCAGGGTTTGTAGTGCCTTTGAGGCCCAGTCGTTCGTGCTTGGCCTTTGTGATGAAAATACCTCTGAAGATAGGTGGCCCGGGCGAAAAGGAAGACTTGGACGCCCGAGGGCTGGATGGAACAAAAAAAGGCGGTAGCTCACCAAGAGATAAGAGGTGTGATGAAAGAATCTCACCCGAAATTCACATGGTGTTGGTTTTAAAATAAAGGATTGTAGCTATGACCCGATTTCCGAAAGCAAAATGTTTATTGTCCTCCGAGGGGTTTTGAAAGGCTGGAGAAAGTGAGAATGCAAGGTTTTTCCGGTACCTCACTGGCCACAGTAGCCTAGAAGGACTACCTGTGGAGCTATGATGTCTGATGTTGGGCATCCTTGCGAAAGGTTGTTACTAGAGTAGTGACGTTTAAGCTGTAAGCCTACTGCTCACATCTCTACTCCCTTTTATGTAGTAACACATTTAAAAAATCAAATTGTGCGTAATTGCAGTGCACCTAATCGCTTTATCTCTTATATTTTCCAGGTCCATATGAGAAGCTTAGTAAAATTCTGGTTAATGTGTTTTTGTGGGGTTTTCCCCCTTCCATTAAGGATCCTATTTGTGACTAGGAGCTAAAGATTTTATTTTAAATAGGGAAAGCTAGAAATCCTTTCTGGGTTTTTTGAGGGATGATTGTGCCCCTGGTTTAAATATTAGGGAAAAAATGCAATTAGCTTTAAATGTTTCCTACTCCGTTAAAGACTGAATATTTAAATGTAACCCACTGTAATCAAACATTAAGTTTAAAAATTTTTCTTTTTTGTTGTGCTTATATTTTGGATATATGATGCCTGAGTTGTGTCAATGACGGTTTAGAAAATTACCTTGAGTGCTAAACAGAGTCAGATTCTAATCCTTTTCTAAGGTCAGTAGACGAAGACTTCTCAGGAAATTTCTTTTCTTTTTATTTATCAAATGAGTGCAACATTCCATTGAAAAGGGGTCCGTATCTGGAAGTAAAGGAAGAGTTAAATGTTCAAGACAGTCTCATTAGCTTTCTTACAAGAAAGTATATGTGCTTTGTCTTTCTACCCACAATAAAGGAAGAATTGGGCTACAATTTTAGAAGTTGAGCTTTCTTCAGAACCTTTTAATTAAATATTTTTTAGGCTTTTGCCTGTTTAATTTGGGATGGGCATTTCTCTAACCTGTATAGCTGGATGTAGTGATACTTGCTTATCCCTGTGCAGTAACTAGTGCTGACTGAGCAGGAGGTAAGAAGAGGTTAAAATTCTGTGGCCCTGATGAGGAACTGCTTTAAAGGGTTCTTTTAAAAATGTAACTTTTTGTTGATTTGTACATACAGTATTATATTTCACACATAGTTGCATGATTTTTACTAGAAAGATATTTATACTTTTCAGTCGGTTAATGGGATTAAACAGAGACTTTGTTTTTGTTATTATTTTGCATATCACTGGCCTTTGTAATCTTATGCTTGCTCTGGTAATTCCTGTTCAAAATATGGCCACATAAGGATAGTTGGTGGTTTTTAAGGTTCATCCTTCATTTTTAATAATGTTACTATCATTGAAATATTTATCTGAAATTTTATCAGAATTAGAGGCAACTACAAAATTATTGCTGATTGTTTTATTTTGCACTCTTATTAGCTGGTGACTACTTCTGCTGGTTTCTGTAGTAAACTATGACTTTTTTTTGGCTGTGTTGGGTCTTCATTGCTGCACACAGGCTTTCTCTAGTTACGGTGAGCGTGGCTTCTCTTGTTGCGGAGCACAGGCTCTAGAGCGCAGGCTCAGTAGTTGTGGCACTCTAGAGCGCAGGCTCAGTAGTTGTGGTGCACAGGCTTAGCTGCTCCGCGGCATGTGGGATCTTCCTGGACCAGGGCTCCATCCTGTGTCCCCTGCACTGGCAGGCGGATTCTTAACCACTGCGCCACCAGGGAAGTCCCAACTATGACTCTTTATTTTGTTGTAGTTGAGTAAAATGTTTTGCTAAGTATAACGGGTCATGACTTTGGCTTCTAAACTGCTGTAAACATTTGAAAAAAAATCTTTGTTCTTCAATGTGAGCTGTAGTTTTAATTGCACAGTATGCTTTGAAATTCTTTGTAATTCATGTATTTTTCATTTTTTAAAATTTTAAATGGTCATACTTTTATGATGCTTATTTTTCCATGTGTGTTTTGGTAAAGAACAGTATAAACCTATTTCAAAATATGAGATATTCAGCTGTTTTAGAGGAAACTTTCATTTGGATATGGTGTGAGAAAAAGTTAGTGAAACTACAGAATAGTTCCTTTCTTCACCAGATGAATTAAGAATGGAGAATGAAGAATGAAATTGGAGAAAGGGAGAAGGCACAAGGGACTCAACTATTCTTTATAGCTGCTCTTTTAGTTCTTAAGTTGAAGATCTTTGCATGTAACCAACCAAATTGAGAACAGTTGCTCCAGTGGAAGAATTTGAACTTCCAAACCTCTACCTTGGATTTGGAGTTGAGAAGAAAGTGGATGGTTTCAGCCTCTATAGTGTGTATCAATTCAGTTTGAACTGAGATTTGTACTTGAAGGTAGTAGTTACTAGCCTATTATTTAATAATTATAGATTTTTATTTTGACCAAAACTAAATTAAATTTTTTAACTCAATTGTTTAATATATATTTCTTGAGTATTTGTTATATGCCAACAAGGAAGGATACAAAGTTTAGATAGTCTGTCCTTAGAGTGCACTGTGGTGGGATTGGGAGACACATACATAAATATAACACTGACAGGTCGTGTGTTATAGAAACCACTCCTTTATGTGTATCTTTATCTATAGAATTTTTGTTGGCAGAGGAGAGGAAAGTCAGATTCTATGAACTTCAGGAAAGCTTATGCTGGGTGCATTGAAATAGTGTGTATTTTGCTTGTTTGGGGAGCAAAAGCTCTTAATGTGGAATTTAGTTATTGATGTACCTGGTGGTAGGTAACTGATAGCAGTGCTCACTTAGTAATCTGAACATCCAACTTTATTTATTTATTTATTTATTTTTAACATCTTTATTGGGGTATAATTGCTTTACAATGGTGTGTTAGTTTCTGCTTTATAACAGAGTGAGTCAGTTATACATATATATGTTCCCATATCTCTTCCCTCTTTGTCTCCCTCCCTCCCACCCTCCCTATCCCACCCCTCCAGACAGCCACAAAGAACCGAGCCGGTTTCCCTGTGCCATGCGGCTGCTTCCCACTGGCTATCTACCTTACGTTTGTTAGTATATATATGTCCATGTCTCTCTCTCGCCCTAACACACCTCACCCTTCCCCCTCCCCATATCCTCAAGTCTGTTCTCCAGTAGGTCTCTGTCTTTATTCCTGTTTTACCCCTAGGTTCTTCATAACATTTTTTTTTCTTAAATTCCATATATATGTGTTAGCATACGGTATTTGTCCTTCTCTTTCTGACTTACTTCACTCTGTATGACAGACTCTAGATCTATCCACCTCATTACAAATAGCTCAATTTCGTTTCTTTTTATGGCTGAGTAATATTCCATTGTATATATGTGCCACATCTTCTTTATCCATTCATCCGACGGCGGGCACTTAGGTTGTTTCCATCTCCGGGCTATTGTAAATAGAGCTGCAATGAACATTTTGGTACATGACTCTTTCTGAATTCTGGTTTCCTCAGGGTATATACCTAGTAGTGGGATTGCTGGGTCATATGGTAGTTCTATTTGTAGTTTTTTAAGGAACCTCCATACTGTTCTCCATAGTGGCTGAACCAATTCACATTCCCACCAGCAGTGCAAGAGTGTTCCCTTTTCTCCACACCCTCTCCAGCATTTATTGTTTCTAGATTTTTTGATGATGGCCATTCTGACTGGTGTGAGATGATATCTCATTGTAGTTTTGATTTGCATTTCTCTAATGATTAATGATGTTGAGCATTCTTTCATGTGTTTGTTGGCAGTCTGTATATCTTCTTTGGAGAAATGTCTATTTAGGTCTTCTGCCCATTTTTGGATTGGGTTGTTTATTTTTTTGTTATTGAGCTGCATGAGCTGCCTGTAAATTTTAGAGGTATTTAGTTATTTAGAGGAATTTAGTTATTGATGTACCTGGTGGTAGGTAACTGATAGCAGTGCTCACTTAGTAATCTGAACATCCACCTTTAAAATGAAAAGGTATATAGGTAGTGGGAAAAAATTCATTTGGAAGCTAGAGACCTAGACATGCTTATAACTCTACTTGCCTTTATATCGCGAGTCGTTATAGTTTATATTTAGTTATTGTGTATCTACTATAGCCAATGTCTAGCTAATTTTGGAAAATAAGTTTATTAGGCAAATATCAGTGAAATCTTATTTCTAATAAATTTATGTTAAATAGAGAACCCTCTAAGATAAGGCTTGTAAGGTGGAAACTGAGGTAGGTAGAGATTGATTCAGAAACTTGGATAGAAGAAATGTTTAGAGGAGCTGGAACTCTTCTTACTCAGTTTTATTATTTATGAGTAGTTCATTCAGTTGCCCACTTTGTGGTTTATGTGGCATATTTTTAGTACCAAGTTGGCTTCATTACCATTAGTTGAGCTTTTTACAGGGATTACAAACTAATTTTAATATCTACTTGAAACATAGACAAAATCAGAAAGTGAAGTATTTAAAAAAGATAAATATGTATTAGATTATCTGCTGTTGGATTTTATGTGCTGGTATATTATATTCTCTTCCATGGTATAGAATACGTTTTGTAAATGCAGAATGAAACCTTTCCCCCTGCTATATTTCTCTAAATGGAAATGACTATTAAATTTCCTTTTTTTTTTTTTTTACTGCGGGGACTTTGAATAAGTGGCCTTTGCTGTGCCATTAGTGGTAGTATCATAGAATGCAGGAGTGGTATTAATACAATTTTAGGACCACCAAAAGCAGTCTTGGGCCTATCAGGGAGAGTGAAAATATAGTACAACTATACCACAGTCATCCCAATAATGGTATACAGTATATCTGTGACATTAAAATTTTATGGGAGGTGATTAGGGAAAGTATGTCTAAAAAATAATTCTTTGGAGGGAGGGGTTAATGATAATGAAAAAAAGGTTGAGAAACACTGCTTTTAAAAGGAGCTAATTGAATTTTGGTTATTTTGGTTTTTTTGTTTGTTGTTGTTTTTTTGTTTGTTTGTTTGTTTTGTTTTTTTACCGTATGCGGGCCCCTCACTCTTGTGGCCTCTCCCGTTGCGGAGCACAGGCTCCGGACGCGCAGGCTCAGCGGCCATGGCTCACGGGCCCAACCGCTCCGCGGCATGTGTGATCTTCCCGGAGCGGGGCACGAACCCGTGTCCCCTCCATCGGCAGGCGGACTCAACCACTGCGCCACCAGGGAAGCCCGAGTTTTGGTTATTTTACTATCCATCTTAATTTAAGTGTTTTCTCTGACTGGGCAACAGCTACTCATATATTATGAGGAACATAATCTTGAAGTGTACAATCTTGAAAGGATACCTTGCCTTTAAAATGATTATAGTAATTAGAATGTAGGGAGTTAGTGGATTTTTTTAACAAACCCTAAGAGCTGTTGCCTACTGGAATTTATATATAATGTACAGTTCTATTGGTGATTAGCTGCTATGAAAAGTAGATAGTTACAATTGGGCAGTATTTGGTATCTAAAATAATTAGAGGGGTAATGTTAATTATTTTTTGTTGTTGTTGTTTTTGAATGCCATTAAAATTTCCTAATGGTAATAATCAAAAAGACTACATAGTAGAACTTGACACTGTGGGCTATCTCTTTTTGACAAAAGTTTGTCCAATAGACTTTCAGAGCTCACCTTCTTTATTTGTGACCCGTGATATACATTTTCCATAATTTCAGAATGTGCATGTTTTCCCCCTTTTTAGAGTGGGAACAGAAAGTAGGATGTGTTCTCTGTGTGTATATATATATTTTTTTTCCCTTAATCTGGAGGATAGGTGTGATATGCTAAAGCTAAAAAGGAAGATTACTGATACTACAGAAGAGTATGTGTTTTGAGTTGCGTTTTAGTAATGGTGGCAAATGTATTCAGATTCATTAATATTTTTTCACCAAGTCCAAATGCATACCATTGGGGCTAGAAGTACAGGCTGTGGCCTTGGAACTGAGCGAAGCTAACTAGTCCACATGGAGATCAAACCCCAGGACCATGGTCTCAATTAGCATCATACTTCAACCAATTGGAAGCAGTCCAGCTACCAGACAAAATGGCTGATCCTAAATATTGGTAGAGTCATATCAGTATGGAAAATTGGTTGGTGTCAACATAGGAATTCGTGGATGGACAAAAATAGTAAGTCATGGTGATTCACCAGGTTAGTGTAGCTGCAATTATGCTTGTAAATGATGTCTACTTATGTGAACATTTTCCTAGATTTACAACTAATGAAAAATCATAATGTGTTAACCTGTTTCATGAAAGTGTAAATCTAAATACTTTTAGTGCTGATATTAATAACCCTTGCATTCTCTTTTACTCTCCCTCAGACCATATAGTGTGATTATAGTCTCTGCTGAGGAGGATGGAAACACAACTCCTTTTGAATAATAGTAATAATAATTCTACTTGATGTACAGAACTGGATTGCCAAAGAGTCTAAAGTGCCCACTACCCCTTGTGGGAAGGTTTTTAGTATCTTAAGTGTGTGGAATCACTGCTGCAGCCATGCCACCTGAAGCTTCAGCTACACTGAAACTTCATAACAAAACTCACCCTTCTTTTTTCTAATTTTTGCTATCACTGCGATTTGATCATGTTGCTTGGTTTTTAAAAACTCAGTTCTCAAAGTTTATTTTGGTATTGTTGTACAAACAAAATTATGGCATTATTCAGTGACTTGTCTTAGTTTCTGTCCATTGCTAATGATGGTTTTTGTTCTCTGACTTACCTTGAGATTTTTGTTCCTTATTAAATGTTACAGACATTCAACCTGGTTAACAATGTTATGTAGAGATTCTGTTACATAATCAGTAAATTGGATAACTTCGTTATGCAGAAGGTTACCTGCAATGACTTTACAAATTTCAGGTCCCTTTGGCTATGTGTTATAAGTGGTATTTCCTCTTCTAGATTTTTTTCTTCTTTTTCTGTTTCTTTTTTTAAAAATCTTTTTCTGGCTCCCTTCTGAATAATAAAACAACAGCCATGTTCCCTTGGGGCCTATAATAAAAATATTTTGTTGATCTGTTCACAGTCATCACAAATATCTTCTCTGTGTCATTCTTTATCCATATAATAGTCCCTAAAACTATTAGCTTTTCCTTGTGTGCCATTTGTATTCATCCTTAGTGAATTGTATTAATGGAGAGAATATGAGTTATGTCTGAACTCTTTAAGTTTATTGTTTTCTAAGTGTAATTGCCTCTCTTCCCTTATTATCTCAAATATTCTACCTCATAAGAATAAAATAGTTCACATCCATCTAGGTACTTAGCGGTGGAAAGGGAGGAAGGTAAAAATAGAACTTTTCCTCTGGTACTGGCTAGTCAAGCCTGTGGCCCAGTAACTGTTAGCAAAGGCAATTTAAATGGTGTTCAGTGTTCTGCCAGTACCTGCATTTCATTTTTCTTGTGCTTATTTACAGATTGAACCCTATTGTTCCATTTTTCTCCTGTTCACATATTTGCTTCTTTTTCTTTTACCTCTTACTTGCATATCACTTGGGCATGTAAGTGGCATCTACTAGCATTGCTTTAATTCTGCTGCTGACAGTGGCAAAGCTTTACTAGATCCTTGTTCGTATCCCTTTTCTCTTGGCTATGTAGATATCTTTTGCCATTTGACTAAGAAGTCAGGTAAGCATTAACTCTTTGTTGACTGAGAATAATGAAACTATTAATAGATACTAATTTGGATAGTTTAACCTGTGTTTTATTTATTGTTTCTCTTTCTCCTGTTAATTTGTTGTGACATACGGAATCATTTTACATACCCACATTTCTTTATCCCTTTCCTATGGCTTAGCTCACTATGCTTTTTCTAAAACTAGTGGCTTTCAGAGTTGGGAAGCAAGATACTGAATACCAAAGAAAACAATAGTTGTATTTTTCTGTTAAATATTAAAATATTTGTAATGGCTCTGATTTTTGTGATATTCTTGTGTCAAAAAAAATTTAAGCCCATCTATTTGTATTCATGTGTTGTTACTTTTAGAGTATTTAATTTCCATGGAAAGTTTTTTATTATTACTTTATTTTGTCTACATGTTATTCTGTTCCTAGAGGAATGTTATTTCCTGTATTATAATAAATATCAGTGGGAAAATAGGATTGATTGTATAGAAATTCTCTTTATAGGCACTGTTCAAGAAGAATACGTCTGTGGCATAAAGTGAAAAGATTTGTACTGAGATCTTTGGCTGTTTCTATCTTCTACCAAATGTTTAAAACAAAATAGTTGAATGAATTTGCATTCAAATCTGTTTAGTAGTAGTCTGACTATCGTATAATCTAGAGCATTATTTCTGTATCTCAGGAAGCTGAATATGGTGGGCATGATCAGATAGATTTGTATGATGATGTCATCTCTCCATCTGCAAATAATGGAGATGCCCCAGAAGATCGGGATTACATGGATACTCTCCCACCAACTGTTGGTGATGATGTGGGTAAAGGAGCAGCACCAAATGTTGTCTATACATATACTGGAAAGAGAATTGCACTATATATTGGAAATCTAACATGGGTAAGTGACTTAACATATGAATTAAAGCATAGGTGATTGATTTCAAACTGTTCCAGTAGTTGGTTTTCTCCAGTTTTATAAAATAAGAATTTGAAGTTACTAGATTGGTTCTACATGCTTGCTTATGCAACGAGGAGGGAAATACAAGCACCTTTAAAATATCGTAAATTCCAAATCTTCTAGTTCTGAATTTTGTAGACATTCAACTTGTTTTGGTAGAGATTCCAGTCAAATATAGTTCGATTTTATCTTCAAATCAATTATTTTTATTTTACTACTCCTACACTTCAGCTATCCCAGTTTTACAAAGAAAAATGCTCACATAAAGTCTCAAACCAGGATTCAGAAGTGCAGGAGAGAAACACAGTACAACTCCTGGTTTTAAGAGTTTTCATTATCTAAATCATACTACAGATGTGTTGAGTTTCATTTTCGCTCATAAATTTGAAATCTGATTTATGGAAATGCTGCTGTATACATTGTATTTTAATGTGGGTTATTTATGAGACTGTAGGATTATTATTGGTTGGGAGTTTCATTAGCTGGATGTTCGGTGTTATCTATATTTTATTAGTATTAAATCTTAAATATTTAACTAAAGTAGTCCTATAGAATTTTTGCATCTCTACTTAGAAACATTTGTTACACATAACTGAAAATTTTTTAATTGTCTAGAAATCAAAACTTGTTACTGTTCCATTTCCTTAATAGCATTTTATTTTTAAATGTTTACATTTTTAAAAACCTAATTGATCTATCTCCCACTACCCAGTCTGAGGAATTTTTTTTTTTTTTTTTAAGTTTTTTTGGGGTTTTTTGGGGTTTTTTTTTGATATGGACCATTTTTAAAGTCTTTATTGAATTTGTTACAATATTGCTTCTGTTTTATGTTTTGGTTTTTTGGCTCTGAGGCATGTGGGATCTTAGTTCCCCGACCAGGGATCAAACCCACACCCCCTGCATTGGAAGGCAAAGTTTTAACCACTGGACTGCCAGGGAAGTCCCTGAGCAATTTTTTAATATTGGAGACAGTAGCAATGTAGTTATGAAGAGTATGGTTGCTAAGTAAGCCTCTGAATCTTAGTTTTTACATATGTTAGTTTTATAACCTTGGAAAAGCTCTTTAACCTCTCTATAACCTCTCTATCCCATGTGTAAAATGGGAGTGATACAGGACTTTTATATTTTAAGAATTAAATATTTGATATAAAGTACATGGTAGGTATCAATACATGTTAGGTGTTTTGTTTTGTTTTTTTCCATCTTGCATTGAAACATAAGATGGAGTTTATTTCCCCAAATAATTTCCTTTAAGGAAAGGAAGTGACAAGTGAGATTGGTTTTACTGAGAATTTAAAGTTGTAGCAGTTGAAAGCTGGAAGAGACCAAAAACTCATTAAGAGTTTAAAAAAAAAAATCTATGTTCTCTCTAAGGGTATGTAGCTTCTAATTTCCAAAACTCTTATCAAGGGATAAAATTATGTCCTCAGGTGCTTTTGTGCTATTTAAAAATTGAAGGCTGACTGGCAGTAATTGTACTTAATTTGCACTGAGCATTTTCTCTTGTTTATCCTGAGTTTACCCTTAAAAAATAAATGGAAACAATAAAAATCTTGGATATGTTTTGATGGTTAATGAGAGGGAAATATCTTGCAGTGGACAACAGATGAAGACTTAACTGAAGCAGTTCATTCTTTGGGAGTAAATGATATTTTGGAGATAAAATTTTTTGAAAATCGGGCAAATGGCCAGTCAAAGGGGTAAGAATTTTGTTTTAATTCTTTTTTCCCTAATGGAAGTTAGTACCTAGTGATTACAATTTTGGGGGTAACTTTCTTTGAAGTTAATGCTAACTACACATGTGTAGGATGTTTTATTTTTACATTGTCAGGAGGTTCTTGGACAAAGATTCATAGTCATTTCATATATCCTGTGATCTACCTCACTAAAACTAGTGGAGCTGGGAGTGTAGATAGATTAGGTCTCTTTTCCAATTTTCCCGAATTTTCTCCATCTGTGGTTGAAATGATATTTGAAATGACAGTTTGAAGAAGCATTGCTATCCCTGTAATTAAGGGATATGGAAGATGGGCAACTGAAGAATAATGTAACATGGATGTTTTGCTTTATTTTTTTAAACTATTAAACTACACAAATGAGGTGGGATCATTATAAAATACACATGTCGAAACGTAAGAAAATAAAAAGCCACAGTCTCATCATCCATAGATGATCGCTCTTGACATTTTAGTGAATATACTTTCAGGTTTTTAAATTTTTACTGCAAAAACAATAGGATTACAACTCAGGTTTTACAATGCATTTGATACACGGAGTAAAACGAATATTGAACAATAAACATACATCTTCCCTAATGTATTAAGTTCTTTCCATCATACCTTGTATGCTACTGTAATTTATTTTACCATTCTAATTTTTGGTTTTTTGGGTTTCCAGTTTTTGCCTATTATAAATAATGTTGTGGCAGGCTTCATTTTATATAAATCTTTAGGTGCAGGTTTTGGACTTTTTAAAAGGTAATTTGCTAGATGCAGAATGATAAAGTAAAAAATATGCTTAATGTACTTATTTTATATTGTTTAATATGCCAGTTTTCAATAACTAGGAATATTTTCAAAATATGTACAGAGTCCGACTGCTTTTCATGAACTTCACTTCTACTACCTGATTCGAGCCACTGTTCTCTCTTACTTGAACTTCTGTAATAGCCTCCTATGTGGTGTTCCTGCCTTCACTCTGCTTCTCTACAGTCTATATACATGACACATAGCAGAAGTTGAAAAAAAGTGACATCAATATTTGCCTGCTCAGAATCTTCTGATGGTTATCTATTTTATTCAGAGTAAAACCCAGAATCTTCACTGGCCTACAAGGCACTAAGACAGGTTTCCCTACTATCTCTCTGACCTCATCTCCTACTACTCTTTGCCTTCCCTATGCTGCTTCAGCCACATTAGTCTCTGATGTTCCTCAAACACATTGCTACTTAAGACCTTCACACTGTTTCTTCTTTTTGGTTTATTTTTTCCCAAAATGTCCACATTTGGGATCTTTCACTTCATTCAGGATTTTGCTTGAGTTCCCTTCCCTGGCCACCCTATGCAAGACCTTCTGCTCCCATCACTGTTTCCTTTTTTTAGTTTTTCTTATGTGTATTTTACTCGTTTATTGTCTTGTCTCCTACTAGGTTTAGATTGTAACCTCCATAAGAGCTTGGCTCACTGTTGTATCCCTAACCCTAGAATGGTCCTGGGATATAGGAGGTGGTGCTCAATAAATGTTTGTTAAATTAGTGAATTAATTAAATTATTTCTAAATGTTGTGACCCAAGATAATCTTGAATCAAACAGCAGACTATTTTGCCAAGGATCTTAGTTTTTTTTTTGTTTTTTTTTTTTTTTTGCGGATCGCCGCCCTCTC